TTTCACCGACGACAGTTAATTTGCCCTTCCCCTAAACATGCTATTTTTTTTCCACTGACAATTTTATTTCTGTAAATATTACCACTAAAACACCGATTTCGCCTACTTACAGAGACTGACGCTGTCGGCAGTGACCAATTTGCGTCAAGTCCCGACAATAATTGACTTTCTACAAGTTCACACTTTGATTTTTTTACGCACGCCATAACCTGCGTTCTTTTCTGTTGTTGGCTTTCTCTGACGATGGACTCCTGCAGGAGTCGTAAAGGTTAGACAAATAAAACTATGATCCCGGTGTTCGACAAAGCTACGTCTTCTCAATCCGTAAGAAATTATTTACATACAGTTGCATCGGTGAACTGAATTACAGGCTGTATTTGCGCTAACCGTTGATCCTAGAAGGAAAACTGACCAGGTGGAAATTAAAGATGATATGCGGCGCATATTCCTCAACATGCTCAAGATGATACGCCTTGTATCTATCTCAAAGACTTAAGACCGACAAACTAAAAGAAGTGCAACTGTCAAATTAGTTTGGCGATCATAGCATAGGGCGTATGGCTGGAGTGGCTCCGCCTGATTTTGAGATCTACTGCTCGACTACGAGTAGGAAGCAGAGCCATTCCTGTGCCTGTGTAAAATATTTACCCTCATATGTGGACCATGCATTCGGTTAGAATCATAGATGGACTGCTGATATATTTTAAGTTAATGCAACCAATCCCGCCTTTAATCTTCACGATGTCCTCTTGCCATCGGGTTCATACGAACGATGAAGATGAGAGAGCCGTGGATGCTGCACAAGCCTGTCATCTCTATAACATAATACTCACACTACAACACAGTTTGAAGCAAAGTGTACAAATTACATTTCCTGACGGTTAACATAAAATTTAGCACTTCTTTGCCAATTGTATTTGGTATTTTACTGAAGAACGGGATTGCCGTGAAGAAATGCTCCTCACTTTATTTATTTCAGCATTATTCTCTCATTTATTTATTTATTACCGTGTACATTAGGTGTGACACCAAATCCAATTACAATATTACTCAAACATCAGCGGTTGTCAGCTGGACAAAAGAAGGTGATCCACTTCATCAAATAAACTACTTATAAGTGTATGCTGTACCAGTAGCGTCAGTAGGAGGTTCACAGCACTGCTTTGCCACAACCGAAAACAACTGCACGTTGCAAAACCTACGGCCTGAAACGGAGTATAACATAACCGTCAAAACCTCCAGTAATCTTGGCTCCTGCGGACATTCAACGACAACCCAAATAAGAACCACAAAACCCGGTAAGTTCACATACTAGGAAACCACATATGCTTTCTGAAAGGGAAAAGTGTTGAATATAAAGCATCTATATTTGACTGACGATTCAACCTGTATATTTTATAACACCAAGCAATTATCTAAACCTAATTAATCAGAAAAAAATATCGTATAAAAGTGGCAGTTATATGTAATAAGAAAACGTAATCTGTTTTTATAAATTTACTGGCACTATTTTGCATTCAGTTGGCAGCATTTTAACAAGCGTTATTGGGCACTGACAACCCGGAATTCACTTTAGCCTGCACTATACAAAGGCTCTTTACACCAGTGTACACATATAGCCGTTAATATATTTTTTTAACCTTTGTAACGTAAAAGAATCAGTTCTGAAATCCCGTGTATGCTCTTAAAACTTTGAAGCAGGTAACGATGGGTCTGCATGCATTTTAAGAGTTTTGGGGAGGAGGCTGCGTAATGGTTGCAAACTGATAACCTAGATATTTCCTCGGCTGGGGTTTGGAATTGACATGACGATATGGTTGAACTAACCGATGAAAGATGCTGGCGCCTACAATTTTTACTATCAGCTGGCAACATCCCAGCATGTTAGGCTTATGAAGGTCGCCGATGCTTGGTGTTTACAGTTATGGTATAGAATGTTTTAATGCTGAACCATTTTTTCTGATATCTACAGTCATTTATGTTCGTTTGCAATGCAACCATGGACTGCATGTAAATACTTCGCTGTCGCCTGTATTTCACATATATACATTTACTTGTGCCAAAAATATTCTTTCGCTGTTTCAGGAGTTACCCATTTTGTATAATTTGAAGTTGTAGTGTCAGCTTAACTTTCAAAGGAAACAACATTTTGCGACTTTGAACTTCTGAGCATTGCAAGTTGATCAACTTAATTTTAACGTATTAACTCTATATCCTCCTTTTTCGTCTTCTTTAGATTCACTGGAGATGCCTGCAGACTTCCAAGTTAAAACGTTTATGGTTACAAGCCTCAATCTGTCTTGGACTGAACCATTGGATGCTGCACACTATTTCCTCCGGTATAAGGTTCACCTGGAACCTCAAAATGCACCAGAAATCACGCACCGAAGTTTCTTTTGCGATACAGTCCTAGTCGGGAAAAATATGTCCTGCTTGGTTGGAGAT